CTTGGCTTACAACATCCCTTCTGTACTTTCTCAAAGAAATCAAGGTCTCAACTTTGATCTAGCAAGGCCTAATTCTCATTCATTTGATGAACTGATATATGAATTTTCCTCTTGATGTAAATGCTGCTGAAGCAGAGAGCAACTGCAGAGTTTCAGCAATCCATGTTCAGACATGGGACTCATAAGACAGTCTAGAGTCCTAAATGCTGAATCACAATTTTACCTGTGAGCCTGCAATATCAGTTATTTGTCAACAGGTAGACCACGAGGAAAAAATCCAGTTTTTCTTGTATATTTGCCTTAACTACAGGGTAAGTTTGTGTGACACAAGCACAGGAAAGGAATTATCTTTGTCGATGGATGTTCCAAAGATATCTTTATGCTACATAAAGATATGCCCTCTGGAGACTTATGCATGTAAACCATTTACAACTGCAATTAAATCTTAAAACACCTTGTCAAGAGATAGTGTTAAGCTAGGACTTTCTCAATCTTTGCCTCCCAATCACAAGTAAAAACTGCACATTGCCTTATTTAATCTTCAATAATTTCTCAAAAATTCTCAAAGACTTGCCCAAGAAGTTGAAAATTACTAAACATCAACAAATAAAAGAGGTGCTAGCTATACCAAAGAAACCACACGCACGCAATTTTGCTTTTTTTGGCTTATTCTGCTAGTACTCTCCCAAGAACCAACAGGAAACGCTTTGGCCAGCCCAGAGAGCTTCACAAGATTCCCTCAACAACACCCAACGACTCTAGTTATTGTACTGAAGAATATAAGACAAAGCATCTGCTTGGCATCCCTGAAGAATGTGCCTTTCATTGAACAAAAGGTTCAATATCCCAATCAATTACAAGAGGAAAATAAGTGGCCTCATCAGCTTCCAGAAACAACTATTCTCAAGAACTTCAGATATTTCTGTCTTCAGACAAAGATAAAACCAATGAAAAGATAAAGCTGCAAACTAGCCCACGCTGCAATAAAGTATGTTTTATCAGACCCAGGAATTTTAGCCAAATATGCAGGCAAATATGCTGCAAATATGCAGCAGCTCACTCAGCCTGTAGTACACAGCACATGTAAGCCATTTCTTGTAAGAAGAAAACAGTCTAATACTTAACTCCCATCAAGTTCAGTTAGTTTTACCATATAATGAAAACTGATATTTCATCATAAATATCATAACATTTGAGCTAATGTTACAGGTAAACTGTGCCCTTTGTAATAAGATAGTGCAAGAGCTTGGAAGATTGTCTATTTCTGTTTGTATGGTTCAGTCAGAAGTAAAAAAAACCTTATGGATACAAGGATGTTCATCAGCAGGATTCACCTCAACTGCTTGCTTTCTTACGTTTCCTTTATCACACTTGCTCATCCTTTTTCTGTGATTCACCACACCTTCATCAGCAAATTATTCCGTTTAACTCAACTGTGAATTATGTTTGGAGGTTCTGGGTTTGATTTCAGCCACACAAGTGATGTTGTGCTTGACGATTTATCCAGGCTCATTGGAAGTCTTATGTTGATACTGTATATGATTCGCAGGCTCCTGAGTAATAATGAATCCCATGTGTGTTCAGATTTTTGTGTGTGTGTGTGTGTCTGTACTTGTGTACACAGAAACAGAGGAGGTAATATTTTCTGAGATTAAAAGATTCACCCATCTGGAATCATTCAAAAAGGAAATACATGCTGGAAATTTGTGGTAGCTTTGAAAACCTCAACACACTCTACATGGATAAACACTATAGGTGGATTCGACACATATCAATCAACTAGTTTTTGATGAAGTTTGCATTGAATAACCAGTATCAATCAGAGACACCTGCACCCCATCATAATACAGATACATCCCCACACATAAAATCTCAGCCAGTAATATGAGTACATAGTTAAGAAAAAAGCATGGAAATAAGTATACCAAAAAGGACTTAGCAGAAATTCTAAATCAGTGGAAAGTACAGCAGTTCTTAAAACCTTGGGAACTTACCAGACTACTAGCTTGAGACAAGTCTAGCTTTAAATCTAACAAGATTATTTCTATAATCTATTTCTGTTCAGTACATTTGTTTGTTTATTCTCTATATTGAGCATGGGATAAAAAGCAGATATTCATGAAACCAGCAGCAACAGCTCCCTTTTGTTTAGGATCTTCCATTGTTGAACCATTTTTCACTGCAGCCAAAGGGCCTGTTTGAACTTCCTGACTGTTCATCACACATAATTTGGACTATTTAACATTATGTCAAGAAAATTGCTCAGTGCTTCCCATAATGGGAACCTATGGGATCTCTATATCCTTGAACTAATTTTGCTTAAAGTATTCCATTGAATAGCATGACTGTCTCACTATAATCAGTGCAGCAGTAATGTAATTAATCTCAAAATTGCTGTGGGGAGTACAAGGCATCTCAGTTGCTTGTCGTAACAATCTAAATTAGTGTATTACTGAAAGACGTTCAGGAGGAACAGTTCATTTTAGGTAAATGCCGTCAGGGTATCCATCCTTTCTATTTCTACAGCTAAATTAAAATTATCATTGTATTTCCCCTTTTGAAATCCAAATGAGCATGTTTTGAGGTGGGGAAGTATAATTAAATTTGATGTATTCCTACAGATTCCTTTTTGTATTTTATAATAATTTTTTTTGAATAAAACTTAATGTTTTATTTAGAAAAGAAAAACTGGTTTGGCTCAAAACATCCTATTGTATCAGAACAATTCCCTTTTGTCACTGAAACTTCACAGACAGTTGCTTCTTCTTTTCCTAAGCAAAAAATTAATCCTGGTGTTTTACTTTTTATACAGCCAAACTTTAACTATTTTATTTACAGATATTTTGAGTAGGCATACAACTACTCCTACTTACAGCAAATCTCAAATGAACTGCAAAGAACTAAATTTTTAAAGTATTCCACTCATAATCTGGGTGATAATAATAAATTATAGTGAATGGATGATGCAGATGCCTGAAATTGCACATTTGGTGTTATTTACTCCATCCCTCTTGTCAGAAACTAAACAAAACCTCAAATGAAATGAAAAAAATTACCCTAATAAAAAGGTTATGAAAAGTCATGAAAGTAGTAAATTTGGCCAATAAATTATTGTTGTTTTTCCCCTATGGAACATACAAAAATATGAAGTCTTCTCAGTTTCCTACTACTCTGTAAAAAATCAGGAGACTAAAATTTTATCTTTTAAGGTCAAAAGATAATTTTTTTCACTAGAGAAAAGGCAAAAGAGTTGAGCAAAAAGTTGAAAGCATAATTCCTGCTCAAGGAATATACTCTCCGATGGTAAAATCATAAGACAGCACATTTTTCAACTGAAAGAAAGTCAGATACTTCATTTAGATGTTGTTTTTTTCATAATGATCCAAAGCAGAACATGGAACAATCCAGAGAGATTATCACCTAATCTGCTCTTTTAACATATATAAGAAATCAAAATGTAAGTAAAACAAGCACTGAATAATTAAAGAAATGCATAACAGTAAGGGCCTGATTTAATTTGCATAATTTTCCCCTTAATAGTGCCTAATTAAGACATCAGTTAAAAAAAAATCCAACAGAACTCTGAGATTTTCTGCACTGAATTAACGCTAAGGATTTTTAATGGGTGTCTTAATTAGACTTTGTTATTCATGGAAATTTTACACAAATTAAAATCAGGTCCTGCACACAACGTTCCCAGCTGAGTCTCAGAAAAAATGCTATACAGGATTGAAAGAATTTTAATCCATGTGCAGATAGCAATTTGTATTCTGAAGTCAATATACTCCATGTTCAGTTTTTGGTTTAATTTGCAGTAAGGCTGTAACCAACAAAACCCACATAGTTAGGATTTTTTCTTCAAAGTAAATTTTGATTTGGACCACTTTTTTCTTTTTTTAATTAGTTAAGTATATAGAAAGTCATGCAGCTGGACCAGGAAATTAGTCCATGGGGACAATAACGACCATGACCTTCTGCACAGTCCAAAGGGTACATATCTGTTATTCAACAGAGAAAGTTTGATTCAGTCTCAAGTTCCATTGCTGCTGTAACTAAATTGAATGCTGCAAGGCCTGTCATTATTGGTGAAAACCAAAACAAACTAAGCCCAAAACAAAATACTACCATAGCAACCCCCTCCACCCCTGTTAAGAAAGTCCTTCTGAAAGAACCTAACTCTTAGGAGAAGGAAAACCTGTCTCTTCAGTTTACCTGCCCAAGGCCCTTCCAAAAAAACATGCTAAAGCACAAGCAACAGGGTTCCACAAAAGCCTTTCAGACAAGTCATCAAAGAAATAACAGCCTGAGAAGCAAAGATTACATTACACTGACATTGGACATATTCCAGATATTGACAGACCAAGTCTCAACTGCAGTTTGTCCTGTAGTGCAGATCACATGGTAACGCTGTGTGCTGATGCTATCATGGAAAGTAGTTTTGCACACAGTCTTCACAAATTATTTCACTAATGAAAAACATGTTAATTTGCAATATCAGACACAACTTTGAACCCATGCAATTGCCAGGAACACATCTGCTACAGCATGTTCTCTACAAAGGAAGAAAAAAAGAATTTGTATGTCTTTGCTCACTATGCAAAGAAAATCAGTGTCTATGGAACAGGGCAAGTACTAACTTCCAAGAGTTTATTTTCATTGCCAGTCTATAATTATACCTGTGTGTCCACGCATGTGCTTGGACATGTGTACGTATCAGCACACTTCTTGCAGTGGAAGCTTTGCCTCTTGTGGCCCAAACTGTGCGAGGGGTGCAGGAGCAGGACCTGCCCTGTTGCTGTTGCCAGGGCTTTCAGTAAAGTATTTTTCTTATGCTTGAGGAAAAGCAAGTAAATATGATTAACCTGCACCCTTTATTCAACCATGATGAACAGGATAAGTTGTTCAGATTTCTCTAAGACCAGAACTGGCAAGACACCAGTCTAGATGCCCTAGAAGACACATATTCCTTGTTTTGGAGGGTTCACATAATTTTACAGTACCTGGCTAGTCTGCGGGCTGGACGGGTCGTAAGAAGGTACGTAATTCTTCAGAGTATCCTGAGGATTCAGGTGGGGAGGATATCTGATCGTTGGATGAGAGAAGTAGCTAGATGGGGCAGGAGGGAGAATAGCTTGTGCTGGAAATGGCAGTGGTGAAGGTGGAGGTGGAGTTCTAGTTGAGATGACTAGAGAAAATAAAATAAAATTAAAATTACTTCACATCTTGTTTCTTCTAAAATTCTTCACCTCTGTGTTACAATAAGATAAATAAAAAGGTCAGTTATAAAACACTGTCTTGCACTCCAAATTTGTGGCATTTTTACAGAAAAATGTACAGGTCCTGCCCTCACATTATCCCAGGAAATGGAAAGTGTAACTGTCTAAATTAATAAATAGTGCATCTTGTTTTGGTTTTGAGGGTTATGCCATCATAATTTTTTTGTTTGTTTTGTTTTTTGTTTCTTGTTTAAACAGAAGTTATTCTCCAGCATAAAAGATATTCCAGTTACACAATTTTCCCATCTGGAGCCCAAAAAACCAAATCAAATACTAAATAAAGACCTCACTTTTATTTGCAGCACTCCAACACTGAGGAAAATCACCAAGCTCTAAGAAATGGGGATTCCTCACTGCATTGCACTCTACCTGCCTCATCCGAGGACAGGCCTATATCTACTCTTCAATATTGCCACAAATATTTTCTGACCTTTATGAAAATATCAATGAACATTCAACTTCAGGGCCTGAGAAACCAATCCATCCAATAAAATAATCTCTGATAAAAAATTATGTACCCTGCCCATTTTTATTCTTTTCATTCTCTTAATTTCCAGCCTTTAGAAACGTACCATTTTCTATCTAAGGACTGCGAGCAGTGTCTAAACTGACAATGTTTTCACAGTGCAAGGAAGGTACAACATTCCTTCTGGTGCTCAGTTGTCAGTGTGCAAGTGTAGAGCTTTCTTCTAGTATTAAAAAATGGTACTTGGTTCAATGAAAAAAGAGAAGAGATAAGGAGTTTCCATTTTCATTAGTGGAAAAATACAAAATCATGTCTGCAAAGCAAGGTCTTTTTTAAGGGCTTCAATGGCTCTCCACTGTATCAGAACAAGCAAACCACCATTGCCTTTCTGGACCAACTTTCACATCTCTGGGTTTCTGCAGCTTAATTTTTAAAGGTCTTGCTACTTTTTTGGCATAATTTTGGCATTGGCATAATAGAACAGTCTACAAAGATAAAAATGTGGTTTCCCAGCAAGTGAATAGTTCATCCACAAGTTAGGTTCTGATTGCCCCTCAAGTATGGATATTTTAGAACTATACTCTAAATTAAATATAAAGATATACTCATAAGTATAGGTTTTTTTTGTTGGGCGCTTTTTTTTTTTCTTTTTTCTTTTATGTTTTTTTTTCTTTCTGGGGGAAGTTCCAGGTTCGTTTTAATCACAGCCCCACCAATTCAGTTTAAACAAAATACTAGTTACTTAGTTACTGCTCTGGCATATTAGAGCTGTGCAAAACGAACACAAACGAAGAGAAATCTATTTCTTCCATTTTATCTATCATCTCTATATGTTTGAGTATCTGCTGGTAATGGAAACCTCAAAGTGACCAGAATGAGTCCAGGACTATTTTGTAATACAAAATAAATGGATGTTAAGGGGAAAATGTTCCTTACACCCGAATTTAAAGGGAGTCACTTGAAGTCATGGAGGAAAAATAAAACAGAAATTTCTCAAAGCAAAACTGCCTGTGAAAGAAAAGAACAAAATGTTCAAATCTACTTTAGTCCTCTAGTCACTCAGCTCTGCTCAATTAAAACCTTTACATGCAATTTATAAGGAGTATTCTGAGGAATACTGAGGACATTTCTGTGTTCTCATCTGAAAACCAGGGTCAGTCTCACCTATAAAATTAAACATAAGATGATGCTGAAATTTCCCTGTCATTACTGATAAACCCTCAAGACAACATGCATTCTGTCATATTTCATGTACATCATCCTTACTTCAAATGAATTTTTACAATGGATTTACCTATTATTTCAGATAACAGGTGTTGGAAAATACTTAATCAGGACTCTTTAGACCCAGCATTCAAAAGAAGCAGTGGTACTTATTTCATTGTGCCACATAGTAAACATGACTGTGACTTCTCTTGTGTATTAAATCTTGCCTATTCTGGTATTTAAATACAATATAGTCATAGCAATAATAATAAAAAAGAGATTTAGGTGAAAGGATGAACTACAGGGAGGATATTTCCTCTTCAGTTTCTTCATGCATTGTACAATTTAGTTTATTCACTAGTTAATCTTAAATCCTTTTTAGTGACTTCCAGCAGTCAGATTACCTGAACAGTTAAATGAACATTTCAGCAAGGATGTCCCAAACTTTTCCATTTTTATTTTCACTAGCATTATGAATTGGATTATGTCTCTAAGAAAGTCTGCAAAAATGCATCATGATTATAATCAAATGATTATAGGAAAGGAGAAGAGAACAAATTAACAGGGAGGTTTTTATTTTCTCCTCCATAGCCCTCACCACTGTGTGCAACTCCTGGGATTCCTGGATGGTGATGTTGGGGAAAAGTGCTCAGTCTTGATGAAGAATCCTGGGGAGAAGTAGGACTAAACAAAGGCTTTTCAGGTTTCTTCATTGTAGGAGAAGACATATCTACAATAGAAAAACAATGTAACAATAACATTAGCTTAGAAGCCTTGCTCAGGACACATCATTTTATAGGCTGAAGATATTTCTTTTTGCTGTTCTTGCACTAATATGCTATGATGATCCAACTCCCCTATGGTGAATAAACTAATTTTAAATTACTGTTTTCAAATATGAGAATTTTAAAAATGTTCTAACAGGTCCTGGTCCTGCAAAACAGAAACTACATTCCTTTCATACCAGACAAGTCAAATAGTGAAGAAATTTATGTCTTTAGAATTTCCCTAGACACTTCTCAGCTCCCCCAAACATGATCAAATCACCTGTTCCTTCAACATCCACTTAATTTTTATTGCATTTTTTAATGGAACACCTACACTCAGATGTGTAGGGTAGTTGCCATACACATGCTGTTTTATGGTATTTATTATTGTATTACTTCAAAACTTATCCCTTACTCTTCCCAAAACCACAGTGAAACAATGTAACCTCCCTGAGAACAAGGGATACTTTAACTTGTCTCATATTTTCCATATCTCAAGGACGGTCTTGTCACTTCCTTCCTTGACTTTCCCTGTTAATAAAAGCATCTCTTTAGAGCTCACTATATGAAGATAACACACTAGTAGGGACAAATGTATGAGTTCTACCAAGCTTACTGATGTTCCACGGAGCAAAAATACTGGATTTTTTTCTGAAAGTTTAAATTAATTATGAATATTTGTTGGACTTTGCACCAAATTATTTCAAATTTAATTTAATTTTTTTATACAATAGACATCAATATTGTAATTTGTTCAATTTCAAATAAATGCAATAACTCATGTTCAAAGCAGAAGTAATTTCTTAAGCACTTTCCTGGACAGAGGCCACACTGCAGCTGACTTTCTTGCATGGACTATGTTATTTTTAAAAGGATTTTTGACCCTTTTAATATTGGCACATTCAATTCTGCTAAGACGGGCCTGCAAAATGTGAATGTCTTATCGAAACCGAATTTAACCAATGCTTTCTGAGCTGACTTCAGAGCAGGACACATGAAACTGAGAGTCGACTTCTTGACTCTGCCCCGTCCTGCTGTCAAGCCCTGCACAGGCACTGGCACCAGACCCAGAGCAGACTCTCCCTGTGACCCTCCACCATCCCCTGCAATTACCACCCTTCACTTTGATCCTGACTACTGTGCCTGATGAGCACCTGAATACCCAGAAAAGCCCACGTCTTCAGCAATGCTGCTGAAAAAAGTTTTATTTGTTTTAAATTTACAGGAAGGGATTCCAATCCTTATTACTTTGAGAATGAAAATAAAACAGACTTTTGGAAAAAAAAAAGTTTGAAATGCAGATGAAAAGCAGAAAGATGCCAAAAGCACTCAGACAAAGTCATTGTAAGGTCAAAATTAATCAGACACAGTGTCCTGTCCTGCTGAGAATGTTCTTCAAATGTGAAATTCTCAGTGCTGTTCCAAATCGCTATTGTTTTTATTCTCATATTATTTTGGAGATAGAGCACACAGGCACCCAAACAAGTAGCATGTTACACGTTTTAAGGCATTGCATTAAAGTAAAAAGGGCTTATGAAAATAAAAATAGTTAGAACATCTCATCATCCAACAAGGTAAATATGCCTACATAGGAAGACAGAAGAGCTGCTGTGAAACATAGCATATGTAGCCTGCTCATCAGCAGCTTGCACAAATGGTGCTCCAGATGTATAGCTGCTCAAGACAGCCCAAGGCAACAATTTTGATCAATTCTAATGTGATAAAATGCTGCAGGGAAAGTGCAGAAACATGTTTACATCAGCCTTTAATTAAACTGTTGTTCACTTCCAAAGAACCTTAGGAAACACTAATGAGACATGAGTTTTGGCAATTTCCTCATCAAAGCAAAGACCCTCTTCCTCAGTCTAAAGCAGCTTGCCATCCAGGCAGCTCCTGGATGAATGTCATCTTGGCACTGCACTTGGCAAGCCACCTGTAAGGAGAACTCAGCTGGAATCGAACAGGGCAAGTTTAAACATCCACATGCCTATTTCTGGTCACCTGACCTGATTTCTTGATCACCGCCACCAAGAGAAGCATTTCAGCTTCTCTTTCTTGTTTATGAGAGATACTTATGAGCAGAGCTAGAAGAATCCATAAACAAATAATAAATATATTTTAATCTTTTAATTCTAGAACTCTTTTTATTAATATATTTTCTACTGCTTGGTTTCACAAACCTTTCTTTACAATGTACACTCTTGCAAAAAAACAATCTGTAAAGATTTATTTACAACTCACTAGTGTAGCATCACCCCCAGAGAAAGTAGGATAAACCCATATTCAGCCCGCAGTATATATCACCGTAATGAAGGACAAAATCTGTGGAGTCCGCAGTACCACTGTCAAGCTATAAGAGGTATCCTTCCATGCTATATTTTCAAATGAACTGCTCTTTCCCAGAGGCAGTACTTGGAAGGATTTCTGGTGGCAGGACATACCACATACATCTTCACCTCATCTGATAGGTACACTTGCATGAAGCACATGAAAACTTAGGTAAAATTTTGAATTCTCTTTGCATGCCTGTATAATGACAAGAAATCAAACTGTACTCAGGAGAATTTGTTTTGCTTTACACCTGCACATGTGAAGAAGGAGCACAGACACTTTGCACAGGCAGAGGCAGTATCACCAATTTTCTGATGAGCTCAATAGAATTCCCTTTAACATTGTAAGAATTATGTATTTCTCAACTGTGCATTTTAATAAGGCACCTAACGCTGAATACTGACAGCTGAGTGACGTTAAACCACAACCACCTCTCCCTTGCTGAAAAAAGTCTTTGTTATATCTGCCCTGAAGACTTGGCACTGGGACTGGATGGAAACTAAGAATCATAAAAATCAAAACATTTTAATTAATTTATCTTCTTCACAAAAAGAAGAAAATGAGTGGGACCACATTTTTATATAGATATGTGAATAAATAGGAAAGAAAGAGAGATGTGCCTGAACAGCTGAGTGTCTGAGAAACTTGATGTTTGTAACAGAGAGAGATTGGCTTAGAGTTCCTGTTCTGCATCAGACAGAGACCAGTCTTTGCAACGAGCTCATCCCTTTTACAAATCTGTGCTCTAATCCTTGACTTTTTGCTGTCTTCTTCCATTTCACAGTAAGTGTTATCTTGGACCAGAGTTAAGGCTTCCTAAAAATTTTATTTACTTCCATGAAAAATTCTGGTAATTGAGGTTCTTCAGAATGAAAAACTCATCAAAATATAACAAACAAATCATGGCCATTTCTGTGCTATGGATTTCTGAGACATGTTTAGCAATTCTCAAGGTGAAGGCCTTTGTACCCACATTTGAGAGAAACAACAGGGTCATGCAGCTGCATGCATACTGCTTAGCAGCTGAGAGCATTCTGAACTTTAGGACCAGGATCAAGGTTTGGGAAGAGCTGAACACTTCACATTTAAAAGACTGATTTGTTTTTCTTCACATTTTAAAAACTGACTTCAGTTTTATTTTTACTTCTACACCAAGTGCGGAAAACCATTTCAAATATGAAAATTTTATACTAGATTAGAATATTTCAGTATATGAAGATTTGATAACCCCCCCATTTTCAAGTCAGCCTACTTAACGCCAGTTTTTTTAGCAGGCACACCTCCAATATTACACAATGCAATCTACCAGACTGTGACACCTGTTTTCCCATCAGGAACTATGCCCGAGGCTAATCAAATGCTCTGTTGTGCTATTATGCCATTTCACAACAGATAAACTATTTCATTGGTTTATTTCAATGGTTCACCTTTTAAGATTTGTATTGAAAAACCTAGGAAGAGACACTAGACTAGAACTTCTACCAATATCATTTTCAGTATTGTAAGCTGTCAAGAAAAGCATTAAAACAATACTTCAATTCAGAAAAGCTACAACAAAGTGAGTAAATTACTTGCAATAGTAAATGAATTATTTCTTTTTTATTGGTCTTATAATAAATTACACTATTTTATATTGTTTTGTTTTATAAGTATTAATATACATAAGAGAAGAAGGCAATACAAGAACTTCCGGAAAATTGAAACACAAAAATTAAAACCTTTTAGATGGAGCAGACGTCATTCTTCCCATCATTACCCACATGAACTTGCAGAACACTGTATTCCATTGCCAACAGTAACATTATGTGGGCTGTGTTTACCTTGAAGATTTTCTTTACCTCAGCAGAAAGGGGTTTGAACAAGAGACAGAAGGGTTTTACCTACCTGCCCATACACCTCCCAGCATACTGGGGGAGGGGGGATATAGGGAGGCAACATGGAAAACCCAGACAAGTCCCTGTATAAATGAATGTAGGACAATCTTTGCTGGTGTTTGTGACTAGCTGTATAAAGTTGGACAACTCAAAGCATCCATTGCATTACTGATTATCCTACTTTTTATGGACAGAAAGCAAAACAACTCAGTACAGTTGCTGTTAAAATTATATGCACTAGCTTTTGGAAAATATAATCTAGTGCATGGATATTTAAACTAAAGTAATTGGGAAACCTGCATATACATTTCCTAAAATTAATTTTTTTAAAAAAATTGTTCAATTTTAACAAAAGGCCATTTATAAAATGGAGGATGACAAAAGCTATGATGGTCAGATTAATATTGAATATGTGGACACCAAAACTATCCAAATCCCAAAGTAATTTCAAAAAACGTCTAGCTATAGGACAGGACATACAGATCTAATCTCATAACTGCTGTTTGACAGCACCATATGACATGTAGATAATTAACTGCCACACTGAAGAGATTGTGTCTATGTAAATTTACAGCTATTCTTACCAAAATTAGGCTGAAACTATGGCACACTGTCCTGCAAAAGCTGTGGGCATTCATCATTTAAACACACCTCACCACTTCTCACCGGTAGGTAACAGTAAAACTCCCAGGAGAGGTTTATAATCAGCATGACTATGTTAGGAGAAAACATACATTTTCTTCCAGTGCACTGATCTT